TATTGGGTTTATTGGCGTTTGGGGGGCTATGGGGGGGTAATTGGAGTTTTGAGGGTCAGGGGGGGTGTGGGGGTCCCGCCTTCTTTTCTTTTAATTTTGGGTGTGGGGTGCTGACCAGCAGCCGATGGGTAGGTGCCAATAGGTGGACCGGTCGGCTGGTCGGTCACCAACCAATTTAGGGGCGCTGACTTTCGCTGTGACTCCACTGGCGAGATTAGAAATTAAAAAAAAGGATAGGACTTTATGCTCCCAAGAGCAGGGTGAAGTGCAGGGGCAAAAGGAACAGAGAAAAGAATTGCAGGAGAAAAGAGAGAAATGCTCACTGACAAGTCCAAATTCTTCAGCATCCCAGCTGCAGAACATGATTGACCGCCGTGGTTTCCATCCCTTCATCATTAATTTGTTCAAGCTTCTGGCAACCTGGAAATGTACAAGGATACAATGCATGGTCAGTGGTCAGACACACACAAACACCCCCCCTCCCTTACCCCCTCCCCCCCAGGAAAAAAAAGAACAAGTTGATAACTATTGCAGACACCAGAGCCTGTGATACCACGTTTGGATCACAGTCAAACAGGCACTACATTTTATGACCGCCCTGGTTACTAGGAGGGCCTCCGTTTGCTTCAGTTGCACCTTTGGATTGACAGTCCAGTGATCATAGTTCTTTTCTTCTGTCTGCCATGGTGGACCCAATTCTTCAGGAGGCAGTGGCTTGAAAGCATTTCATGAATAGCAGTGTCATGTCCAGTCCCAGTCCCAAGGTTCCAAGCCCCATGAACCATAAGTACCATTCCGGTAGTTAGGTAGGTTGCGTTTAGCCTGTAGGCTGGTTGGTTAGCAGTTCGGACCAGTTCAGTCTAGTCCAGTCCAGTCCAGTCCAGTCCAGTCCAGTCCAGTCAGTGGCCGAAGTCCGGAGAGAGTGAACATTCTGGATGTCTGAAAAGGCCCACCAGAGTCTGCAAGTGAGGGTACCGAATCTGGAAAGTTGGACGTCACGTAACTGAAGCATCACATACAAAAGTGTGGCAGCAGTGGGCGTCAACATCTTTCCATTTGTGTCAATTGAAAGTGCTCCTGCTTACTTGCGTTATCAAGCGACGAGGGAGACTGGGGTGAGGCAGTCTAAGTAGCCATAGTTGACGGCACTGGCGCCATAGCTGTAGCTGAGAGAGAGAGGATGAGTGCAGAAGGCATTCAAAGAGGAAGTGAGGCCTGGGAGAGAGAGAGAGAGAGAGAGAGAGAGAGAGAGAGAGAGAGAGAGAGAGAGAGAGAGAGAGAGAGAGAGAGAGAGAG